CTAAACTAGCGTGGGTATGACTCGGTATATCGTACGGTGCAATGGTCGCTAAACCAGCGTGGGTATGACTCGGTATACCGTACAGTGCAATGGTCGCTAAACTAGCGTTGGTATGACTCAGTATATCGTACAGTGCATTGGTCGTTAAACTAGCGTGGGTATGACTCAGTATATCGAACAGTGCATTGGTCGCTAAACTAGCGTGGGTATGACTCAGTATATCGAACAGTGCATTGGTCGTTAAACTAGCGTGGGTATGACTCAGTATATCGTACAGTGCAATGGTCGCTAAACTAGCGTGGGTATGACTCGGTATATCGTATAGTGCAATGGTCACTAAACTAGCGTGGGTATGACTCAGTATATCGTACAGTGCAATGGTCGCTAAACTAGCGTGGGTATGACTCAGTATATCGTACAGTGCAATGGTCGCTAAACTAGCGTGGGTATGACTCAGTATATCGTACAGTGCAATGGTCGCTAAACTAGCGTGGGTATGACTCAGTATATCGTACAGTGCAATGGTCGCTAAACTAGCGTGGGTATGACTCAGTATATCGTACAGTGCAATGGTCGCTAAACTAGCGTGGGTATGACTCAGTATATCGTACAGTGCAATGGTCGCTAAACTAGCGTGGGTATGACTCGGTATATCGTACAGTGCAATGGTCGCTAAACTAGCGTGGGTATGACTCAGTATATCGTACAGTGCAATGGTCGCTAAACTAGCGTGGGTATGACTCAGTATATCGTACAGTGCAATGGTCGCTAAACTAGCGTGGGTATGACTCAGTATATCGTACAGTGCAATGGTCGCTAAACTAGCGTGGGTATGACTCAGTATATCGTACAGTGCAATGGTCGCTAAACTAGCGTGGGTATGACTCAGTATATCGTACAGTGCAATGGTCGCTAAACTAGCGTGGGTATGACTCGGTATATCGTACAGTGCAATGGTCGCTAAACTAGCGTGGGTATGACTCAGTATATCGTACAGTGCAATGGTCGCTAAACTAGCGTGGGTATGACTCAGTATATCGTACAGTGCAATGGTCGCTAAACTAGCGTGGGTATGACTCAGTATATCGTACAGTGCAATGGTCGCTAAACTAGCGTGGGTATGACTCAGTATATCGTACAGTGCAATGGTCGCTAAACTAGCGTGGGTATGACTCAGTATATCGTACAGTGCAATGGTCGCTAAACTAGCGTGGGTATGACTCAGTATATCGTACAGTGCAATGGTCGCTAAACTAGCGTGGGTATGACTCAGTATATCGTACAGTGCAATGGTCGCTAAACTAGCGTGGGTATGACTCAGTATATCGTACAGTGCAATGGTCGCTAAACTAGCGTGGGTATGACTCGGTATATCGTACAGTGCAATGGTCGCTAAACTAGCGTGGGTATGACTCAGTATATCGTACAGTGCAATGGTCGCTAAACTAGCGTGGGTATGACTCAGTATATCGTACAGTGCAATGGTCGCTAAACTAGCGTGGGTATGACTCAGTATATCGTACAGTGCAATGGTCGCTAAACTAGCGTGGGTATGACTCAGTATATCGTACAGTGCAATGGTCGCTAAACTAGCGTGGGTATGACTCAGTATATCGTACAGTGCAATGGTCGCTAAACTAGCGTGGGTATGACTCAGTATATCGTACAGTGCAATGGTCGCTAAACTAGCGTGGGTATGACTCAGTATATCGTACAGTGCAATGGTCGCTAAACTAGCGTGGGTATGACTCAGTATATCGTACAGTGCAATGGTCGCTAAACTAGCGTGGGTATGACTCGGTATATCGTACAGTGCAATGGTCGCTAAACTAGCGTGGGTATGACTCAGTATATCGTACAGTGCAATGGTCGCTAAACTAGCGTGGGTATGACTCAGTATATCGTACAGTGCAATGGTCGCTAAACTAGCGTGGGTATGACTCAGTATATCGTACAGTGCAATGGTCGCTAAACTAGCGTGGGTATGACTCAGTATATCGTACAGTGCAATGGTCGCTAAACTAGCGTGGGTATGACTCAGTATATCGTACAGTGCAATGGTCGCTAAACTAGCGTGGGTATGACTCAGTATATCGTACAGTGCAATGGTCGCTAAACTAGCGTGGGTATGACTCAGTATATCGTACAGTGCAATGGTCGCTAAACTAGCGTGGGTATGACTCAGTATATCGTACAGTGCAATGGTCGCTAAACTAGCGTGGGTATGACTCAGTATATCGTACAGTGCAATGGTCGCTAAACTAGCGTGGGTATGACTCAGTATATCGTACAGTGCAATGGTCGCTAAACTAGCGTGGGTATGACTCAGTATATCGTACAGTGCAATGGTCGCTAAACTAGCGTGGGTATGACTCGGTATATCGTACAGTGCAATGGTCGCTAAACTAGCGTGGGTATGACTCAGTATATCGTACAGTGCAATGGTCGCTAAACTAGCGTGGGTATGACTCAGTATATCGTACAGTGCAATGGTCGCTAAACTAGCGTGGGTATGACTCAGTATATCGTACAGTGCAATGGTCGCTAAACTAGCGTTGGTATGACTCGGTATTTCGTACAGTGCAATGGTCGCTAAACTAGCGTGGGTTTGACTCAGTATATCGTACAGTGCAATGGTCGCTAAACTAGCGTGGGTATGACTCAGTATATCGTATAGAGCAATGGTCGCTAAACAAGCGTGGGTATGTCTCGGTATACCGTACAGTACAATGAAAGCAATATTCTTGCTTTTAGTACTAAATTGAAATATATTGACCCATATCCTCGGCAATAAACCTTAGTGACTGTCGACACACACACATTGACTCACTTTGAGTTACCTTGGCTACCATTATTTTGATTACATATATGTTTAATAGTCTACAAACATGAAAATGCGGACAGTAATTGATCGGTCGGTGCGAAAGTCAGCAACGTTATCGCAAGGGGAGCGTGGTATTGACCCGCGCTTCGGATTATTTATCCGTAGCCTTAGTTCGAATCCCTCCGGAATCGTCAAAACGATAGCCAGGTCTAATTGGATAAGTTAATTGGTTATCAATAATGGTACATGTATACAGTTATACTACACCCAATGGTTTTCACTGATCAGCTCTGTCTTATTTAGGGTTACCTGATTTGATCTGCTATAACGGGTCCAACAACGCTCGCTACCTGTATAAGCTTACCTACTTAAATATACAGAAGGATGACAACACATGGCCGTGCCAGCCGCTGCAACTAACGACACGGCGATTAGCATCTCATCGCCTTACAAAGTAAAACTGAACACAAACTGTCCAGCCTTCTAGTTGACAGCAGTATTGGGTGATGGTGAGTGTGTCCGTGTCGCCAGATCTACTGAGCCAGGCGTACCATACCCTACTACTATACATAGGCTGCCCGCCATCGACCAGAACCGGCAGGTGACAAAATTGATAATGTATGTACACGCTATACGACACTAGCACGGACCAGCAACGTACGGTGCTCTACACACGATTGGCGCGGCTGAATGCCATTGCATAGCGCGGTCTATGGACAGGCAAACTGCAAGTATTGGCGGCAAACGTACCTTGGTGAAACCAAACATCACCATAAAAGGCTGTGACGAAAATTTTTTTCTGTCAAGACAACTTGTTACCTTTCCTTTTGTGGATTTTAAAACAACTATAGTTTTGTTATATTTTTATTCAATAACCAAAAATATGAATTGGTTTGACGGAATAGCGCGCAATCATACTTAACATAGCTTGTTCGCGGAAGATTATCTCCACGGAAAAGCTCTAAAAACGTACGTGGAAATGATAGTGTGGTAATATTGAACAGTTTCGAGAGGTGTATATGGTGTGAAATAATATTGTTTTAAGGAAAAGTTATCGGCTTTGTTGAATTTGGAGATAAAAAAACTTTAAATGCAGAGTACGCTTGTGGACCGAAATGGAAACTTTGCATAAATTAATGCGGATGGTTGTGAGACGGAAGGATAGCTACTTTACTTGTCCGTGGTAGGAATTAGCGATATAAAGGAGCTATACACTTACGACCAAGGTACGTATGTAGGAACATCTCTCCTACCCTCACCCTTTCTTTTATACCTTCCTGTATCATCTAAATGGAAAATTCCCTGTTTTTCGCTTCGTTTTTCGTAAAAGATTAGCGTGCAAAACAAAAGCACGGTTTAAAGGAGCGTGCCAAAGAGTTACACACGCAATGACAATTTGTTTGGAAGTCGGCTGATGATGTCACTCCCGGATAATTGCAGATCTCCAATTAGCGCCAGATCCGTCTGGTGGGGAAACGGGGAGATTATTTGCAATAACACGTTACATTACTGCATTTCGCCATCTCCTCGGAGTTAGGCGGAAACCAGATTACTATCACTAACAGTTACCAAGGAAAGAACGTAAACAATTATCAGCATATATATGTCATTATACTGGTAACATAATTTTTATTATCTGCATTTTTGTTTAATATTGATAGTGGTGTGCTTTTTTTTACATGAACATATATGAATGAGAATTCAACTTATCAATCGGATAAATAATGTTAGATTTTCATAAAAAATGCTTGATGAAAGGGTTGCATGGATTTTGGTTGCTGCGTGCACTATTGCTACGATACGTTCACGCGATACCATCAGCCAGTAATTACACATACAGTTAAGTACGGGTGAGTTTTAAGTAAAGTGTTCCAGCAGCAGTAGGCTCAATAACTGGAATTGCATATGGATCTATTATTTACATGATCATCCATTGTTGATAAACGTCACAGCAGAAATAACCTGGGCGGCTGTACAAAGGTGGTTGTCATTTGACAGCGTAAGGTTTGTTCTGACTCTAGTGATACGCGCTACGAATACATTTGCCGCCTTTGTTGCGCTGCATACCGTAAGGTGTATACAGCTCACGTGCATGATAGCCTGAGGGATGTTTTCAAATTAATTTCATAAAATTTTATATATAGAAAAATACTCGCCAAGTATAGTGGCCCAGGATGTCTGTGACAGTCGCTGTATACCCGACATTTGACAGACTATAAAATTTTTCACACACTGATTTCAGATTTCATGAGTTCGCCAACACAGCGCTACCATCATGCAGAAGGCGATCCGCTTCAACGAAAACCAACTTCTCTACCTGGCATCAAAATCTAAGCGGGAAAATAGCATTGCTGGATATCTCCACAAGAAAAGTTCGGACACTGGGAAATGGCAACTCAGATATTTCATATTGTATCAGAATTTATTGTTTTACTTCGAGAGTGAGACTGCTGGTCGGCCGTCTGGAGTCGCTTTGCTGGAAGGCAGCTATTGCGATCGAGTCCTCACACCGGCCGCGCTGAAGGCCGGAAAGGACACCGAGAAACAGGTAAGTCTATCTAATTGATTAAAATTATTGGAAATTTGATGTGCGTGTAAAAAATGTATATCGATCTGTAATCTAAGTCAGCATTTTTTCCCCAGAGAGAATGAAGGTATAGAGTGCACAATGGCCAGATTTGTTCATGCATAACGTCTGTGTGTTGTTCAGCACGCGACAGCAAGGAAATCGAACGTAGGCTTGCTGAACGACATTGCGAGTTGGTACGCGCCAAAATGGTCGATTTGGTTTGTAAATATTTGAATTTAACAATAACGTTAGTTTGTTTTCTAACTCAAAATGGCGTTTACGCCCCGCTTTCTGTTGCCGTAATTATGTGCTTCAGCACAATTGACTAGACAGTGGGAGAAACAATTGTTTACTAGATAACGTACGGGGTTTTATTTATTGGGGCTGTTGTGGTCAGTTGTGTTGATGACCGATGACCACACTGCACGTGTGAATAGGTCTGTACAACTGACAGGTGTACCGTGACTCTGTGACCTTGCCCGTGTTTGCGTCTGATGAAAAGAACATCACACACGTTTCAGCTTCTGTGGAGTAAAGGATGACGCGCTGATGATAAATGGGCTATTTATATATATACATATTATATATATAATCTCCACATCGTTAGCAGCTCCCCAGGTGATTTTGGATAAACTGTTACACCTGGGGAGCTGAAACAGGTGAACATGTGGATATACATGGGCCCCTGGGAAATTAACTGAAACTTTTACTAGTGTTCACAGCTATTACGTAAAGTTTTAAACGTTCTGTAATGTACATGATTTCTATATCATATCTAGATTGTAATGCTACAGAAGCTGTGACTTTATTTAAAGATATATCTGAACATCTATTTCATGTATCTGTGGTAATTAAATATATAAATTGAATTTAGTCCAACCACACAGAAATGTTGGCTGATGGGTGGAAATTTTAATGTGCAAGTGAACATCCTTGGTGTATCTTACAACACAAACTGATATGTAAGCATTATATGTTTAAATGAGACTGGTCATCACCATACACATGTAACAGAACTGGACTGACTGGTCACCACCATACACACGTAACAGAACTGGACTGACTGGTCACCACCATACACATGTAACAGAACTGGACTGACT